TCATCATGGAGCAGGGGAATGAGGGGCTGGGGCTTCACTGGGGGACAGAGGGTCCTGAAACCCTCACTTGGAAGGGAGGGGGACAGAGAGGCTCCAGCCCCTCCCTGTTCCTCCAGGGGAGTTGCATAAGTGTTCTCCCAGCCTCAGAATTTCTACATGCTGCTGTCTTAACTGCCTGGGCTCCTGGTAAAGGCCTTTTGGATGCCTTGACCTTGACCTTGGAGCTGCTGTTACTGGAACCTCAGGAGTAGGGCCAGGAACAGATGGAAGTGGTGGTGGCTGTAGTAGGCAGGAGGTGGAGGTCAGGGGCTCCATAGCAAGAGCAGAATGGCACTGGACTTCAGTCAGGGCTACAGCCAGAGAGCCGGGCTTACCCTGCTCCACCCTCCCACACCTGCCAGTTCTGTCCCCTCTGTAGCTTTATGGGGTCAGGTGGGGCTCCCAGAAGCCTTCCCAGGAGGTGAAGGGACATTGGGGCAGATGCTGGGCCCTGACAGATCTGCTCTGAGGACGCGTGGGCCTCTCCCTGTGCCTTTTCCCCTGTCCCCTTTCTCCCTGCTGGCCCTGGCCCCTCCCCCAGCATCTGGGGCCAGCTGGGGCCTAGAGAGAGCACGCCAGGGTGGGGCCATCTGAAGGTGCATAAATCATTATTGGCCAAGACCTCAGCCCTGAGCACCGGGTGGAGGCTGCTGCTCGTGGTTCAGGCCAGGGCATAAATCATAATTCTCCTACAATAGATCCTTTTGCAGCCGCCATCAGGAAAACTGTGTTGGTTTTATCGATTTTTTGACACGGGGGCCTAGGCAGCGGGCGGCTCCTGAATCATTATGAAATGAAACTGATTAGGAATTCATGGAATACTAAATAAACTTTACGAGCCCGTTGTAAGTTTTTTGATGCATGGGGAGCGGAAAATGAAAACTAATGATATAAAAATTACACAGCGTGCTGAGTATTATTATACTGCTATTGATTTGTTTCAAACTGTACATCAAAATCGAAGAGGGCTGGGGCGACTCCTGCAGACCTGCTGGGGGCTTTGGGCTCACCAGGCCTGCACGGCTTCTTCCCCTCTTGTGCTTTGCTTCCTTTCTTCTCTTTCCTCTTGCTCCCTGCTCTGTAATCTTACTCCCTTTCCAAGAAAGACCCCAGGGACCCCCACAGGGCAGCATCCTGTACAGCCTAGACCTTGGACCCTGTCTCAGGCTGAATACCTTGGCTTGCGCTGGTTTCTCTCTGAAACAGGGTTTTCCACCTGTTTGTTTGTTTTCACCTCTCCCTTCTCCAATATTGTCCCTCCCTCCACTGCCGCTCCTCATCCCTCTAGTGGGAACTGGGACTTGAGGTGTGATGTCCTTGCTGAGAAGAACTTTGGGACACAAGGGGTGCAAAGGCTAGATGAACCAATGCACATTTTATTGAATTTTTCTGGGGCAACTCATACTAATTTTTTGCAGGGCCAGCAGGTAGGTAAGTTACTAGTTAACTAAACAATAGCATACAAGCTACTCTAATAATAGATCACAAGGGATTTGGGGAACAATCACCAGGCTCTGAGCAGTAGGATAAGTAAACATGAGTTACAGGAACTAATAGTGGTAAACAAACAGATCTAACTAGAAATGGAATCTAACAGAACTTTGTACTCAGATACATTCATGGCACAATCACTAAAGGAAGAGGAAGATGATAATGAAGACATCTCACAACTTCCCAGGTAGTCCACAATTCTCAGCAGAAAGTCTTCTTTCTGCTACATTCTTTTTTTTTTTTCCAGATTTATTTATTTTTATTGGAAAGTCAGATAGAGAGGAGGAAAGACAGAGAGGAAGATCCTCTGTCCATTGATTCACTCCCCAAGTGACTGCAACGGCTGATCTGGAGCCAGGAACCTCTTCCAGGTCTCCCACACAGGTGCAGGGTCCCAAGGCTTTAGGCCATCCTTGACTGCTTTCCCAGGCCACAAGCAGGGAGCTGGTTGGGAAGTGGGACTGCTGGGATTAGAACTGGCGCAATATGGGATCTTGGCACGTTCAAGGCAAGGATTTTAGCTGCTAGTACGCCAGGCCCTCTGCTACATTCTTGGGCTGCCGAGAATGTCTTAGATTCAGGGTCTCTTGGGCATCTGGTGGCCTGGTTGGGGGGCAGGTCTCCACAATTAGTAACTCTTTACACCTCACCCCCCACCCCCGGCCTTTGGTGAAGGACACTGACTCTGGGAGAAGCCAGTGGTTTTGTGGTTAGCACTTTGCTGTGTTAAGCTTTAGTGTATCCCTGAGCCCCTCTGGGTGTTGTTTCAGATGGGACTCATTAGACTAGGATTTTTCAGAGTGTTGTTTGTTGACAGTTGGCATGTTATCCTCAGAGTGAGTTAAAAATACGTAGTCTTGGGGCCAGCGGTGTGGTATAATGAGTTGTCACTACTTGCACTGCTGGCGTTCTATATGAGTCTCTGTTCAAACTCTGGTGGCTCCAATTCCCATCCGACTCCCTGTTAATGTGCCTTGGAGAGCAGCAGAAGACAGCCCAAGTCCTTGGGCTCCTGCACCTAGGTAGGAGACCTAGAAGCATCTCCTGGCTTCAGCCTGGCCCAGCCCTGGCTGCTGTGACCCTTTGGGGAGTAAACCAGTGAATGGAAGATTCTGTCTCTCCATATCTCTACATAGCTTTATCTTTCAAATAAATAAAATAAATATTTTAAAAAAATTAGGTCCTAGGTACCTCCTTGGTTGAACTAGCCCCAAATCTCAGGGAGGGGAGATCTTGAAATCTGTATTTTATTTTATATATTTTTCATACTTGAAATATTTTATTATTTATTTATTTATTGGAAATGGAGCAACAGGGACTAGAACCGGCACTCTATTATGGGGACACAGATGGCAGCTTAACTCAATGTATCACAATGCCAGCCCAGGAATCTGTATTTTACTGTGTTCTCCTGTGACTCCTGTGCATGGGACACCTGTGCCCAGAGGAGACACATGGGAGCTACTTGTCCCATTGGGCTATTGGAGACAGTCTTGCCACTGTCTGTGACCAGTGCCTTGTGTATTTGCCGGATTGTGACAATTCCTGATGCCAAAACAAGCTATCTCCACTGAGGTTGGTTGCGTGCTCTTGCTACATATCCACTGGGCTTGACAGTGATTCTGCTGCATACAGCTTCCTTCCAGAACCACTCAGTATGAAACACGTTGATGGTGGGAGAAGATGTTTTGCTGGGACACAACATGCATCATTCCATCTTCCGTTCATTTGCCAAAGCGAGCCGTCTGGGCATATCCCTCATCAGGATAGTGGGAGTGCAGCTCCCTGAGATGCGGTGCCAAATTGACTCTGAGGGGTGCTAGGGCACAAATCTGGCTCTTGGGGGCCTTGCTGTCTCTGGGAAAACAGCAATGCTATGCATCTGCTCTGCCTGCAGCCATTTTTAGAACTGGATATAGTAGTCAGGAGGGACACTATTTTGGGTCTGACATTGTGACATGGTAGGCTAAAGTACCACCTGCATCAGAGGCATCCTATAAGAGCACCAAGGCCTGGCTGGTCCATTTCTGATTCAGTTCACTGCTGATATGCCCAGGAAAGAGCAGAAGATGGCCCAAATACTTGGGTCCCCAGCACTCATGTGGGAGTTCTAGGCACTTGGCTTGTAATTTCTGCCTGGCCCTATCCAGATGCTATGGCCGTTTTGAGAATGATAAAAGATCGTTCTCCCCCTGTCTCTTTGCTACTCTGCATTTCAAATAAATCTTAAAACACTCTTTAAAGTTTATTTATTTGAGAGGCAGAGAGATAGATGGAGGTACAGAGCTCCTATTCATTGGTTCACTCCCCAAAATGTCCACAATGGCTGGGGCTGCTCTGAGGCCAAAGGGGACTGAGCACTCCAATCTCACATGAGTGGCAGGAACCCAATTACTAGAATCATCTTTGCTGCCTCTCAGGGTCTGCATTAGCAAGTCTGGAGTTAGGAGCCTGAGTCGGGTTTCAAACCCAGGTACCAGTGTGGGACTTGGGCGTCTTAACCAGCATCTGAGCTGCTAGGCCAAACGCCCACCACAGGACAAAGAGCCTTAAGGTTTGCATTTGACTCTCAGTTCTGCGCATAGCTGGCAGTGTGGTCTTGGATAAATTACTATGTTTATCTGGGATTCAGTTTCTTCCACTGTCAAAGATAAATTTGGACTCATTTCATCAGTAATTCCTTCCAGGAAGCTAGAATGGGCAGCTTGGGGCCCGGTGCGGTGGCCTAGTAGCAAAAGTCCTTTCCTTGCACATGCTGGAATCCCATATGGGCACCAGGTCTAATCCTGGAAGCTCCACTTCCCATCCAGCTTCCTGCTTGTGGCCTGGAAAAGCAGTCGAGGGTGGCCTAATGCCTTGGACAGAAGATCTTCCTCTCTGTCTCTCCTCTCTGTATATCTGACTTTGTAATAAAAATGAATAAATCTTTTAAAAAAAAAGTTATGGGGTGTGACTGGGCCCCTTCATGGAGTCTGGGGTGCTACCCACATTGAATTTAGATGTGGCTGTGAGTGGGCCATCCGTTCATTCCCGAGCGTATTGACTGCAGAATTGAGTGCTACAAGTAAGAAGGAGTTTAGCTATTATTCTTCTACTGGTTTGATTTAATGTTCGGTTTACTCCTGTTCCTCCTCCTCCTCTCATCAGTCTGGCATTTGCATAGTGCTTCCCTGCAGTTTTTATAAGTTTTCCCTCCTGTAACTCCCTGCCTGGGCCCATGGGTGGCTGCAGGGCATTTTGGTGCCCTGGGTGGGAGGCATCTTCCTCCTTTCCACCCAGACTTCTTGCTCATTTCCCGCCCCCATGGGGCTCCTGGCCCTCTGGGAACCTGGGAGCTTCCTGCTGCCTGGTGGCCTTTGAAGTAGATGGGGTCTCATTGTGCTCATGAAAAAGTCCTCCTACCTCCTTTCCAGGTACCTATGCCCTCCCGTTCAGGGGCTTAAGGCAGTACCTCAAAATCCTTCAGGTTTGTGCTTGATTTAGCAGCACATATACTAAAATTGGAGCAATACAGAGAAGATTATCATGGCCCCTGTGCAAGGATGACACAGAGATTCATGAAAATCCTTCAGGTTCAAGTACTGCTCAGCGGCAAGGCGGTCATGGTTGTCCCCTATGTCCCTTGCTGTCTCTTTTGTTATAGCCTCTTGTTTCCCCCCACCCCCTAGAAGCCCTACAGGCCTCAGGGCATATGGGATACCTGACTTATGTCCCTCAGAAGGCAACCTGAGCAAGGACTGAGTGCAAGTGGCTTATCTGCCCCAGAGGGGCAGGCATGGGTGGTAAAGCTGTGAATGTAGGTGGCAGATGATGGAATGTCACCTGCCCAGGGATGCTAGTGGCAGAAAACTGGGAGCCAGCTTACATGAAGCACCTGCCAAGTACCACCAGCCTTGGAGTGTGTGGGACTAACATGTTTGCTTGCAGTGGCTGATGACCATTTTGTTTGTTTGTTTTGTTTATTATTTTTTCTTTATTTTTAATAATCTTTACATAGTTAATTAGGACACAAAGGTTCAAGGGCTATAGGAGAGTGGGTAAGACTATTATTTCCTCATCATATTTTTTTCTTGTATTGGGGTAAAGGGAGAGATAAAGGGAGAAGCCCTATCCAGTCTCCCACCCATCTCAGGTCCCCAAAGTGGGACATACTCCGGGGATCCTACTCAAGTGGTTTTGATAGTTCAACAGTTCTGAATTGCTGCCAGTCTTGCCATTCCAAGCACAATAAGGTCGCTGAAGAATCCACTGATTGACATAGTCCATCTTAGAGTCTCCATTTGCCCTGTTTTTCACTGCCAACATATGGCTAGGGTAGTTGATTGATTTGTTCTGTCCTCTGTCTTTTCATGGTTAGGTTCTGAGTCTGGCAGTTCGATTGGGGAGATCCCCAAAGAAACTTTGTCTGAGGTGATCCCAGACCAGATACTTACGTGTACTTGGGAAGTACAGGGCTCAGTACAGTCCATCACCCTGATCAGCTGGTGGTTGCAGTTGCTGGGTTGGTTCTGTTCCCAGCCCTGTCTTCCACTGGAACCAATGGGTGTTGCAGCCCAGCCTGATTCTGCCCAGCACACACTCGGCCTTCACATAAACCAGTGGGAGCTGCAGCCTAGTCGGAGCGACCCACAATAGCCCCCATGTTTGTTTGTTTGTTTGTTTTAATTTATTTTTAAAATGATCTTACTTGTTTGTTTTTTAACCTTTCAATTCCTAGTTACCAAGTGCTATACATGTCTCCTGGTTGTAACACCTACAGTTATAGGAAAAAGATCACCTTTCACACTCACCCACTGTCTTTGTTATAGTCAGTTCTTCCAACAGTCTCTCCTCAGGGGGAAGGGTACCAGCATTTCTATTTCACAGATGAAAAAACAGAGGCTCAGTGGGGTTGAAGGACATGCCTGGGGAGGAGGGAGGGCATGTGTCCCCAAGTAGCAAGGCCAGGATTTGAACTCAGGTTTGCTTCTCCCTATTTTTTGGTGGTAAGTCCCTGCATCGGGCGCTGGGTGAAGCTACAGATGTCCTTGGAAGGCTCTCTTGCTTCTGAGGTTCTGTCTCGTTAGCCGCCACTCACCCCACCCCTCCGCCCCCCGACTGCCAAGCAAAGAAGTCCTTTCCTCCTCCTCAGGTGGCTTGTGGCAGATTACTTAGCGCGTGACACGGCGTGTCTGTGTCACTGTTCCCGGGCGGAATTAAATCAGGGCAGGAAAATATTAATTTGGAGTTGGGGATGGAGGCCGCTCCTTTCCAATTACTCTCCACCCCGTCAGGCTTATCCTGGCGCAAACAAGGAAGGAGGCTGGATTAATTGCTTTGGACTCTACCCCACTCCAGTCCCAATTACTGGGCCGGCTTGGCTCCCAGCATTATGAAGCACACTGCTGTGCAGGAAATTGTGTGAAATTTTAACGGATTTCCAGATGCAATAATGGAGCCCAGGATTTGGGGCCGGTGGTTGCTGGGCGCTGGGTCTTGTGTGCCTTGGTGGAGGTTTACACAGTATGGGGTTTCTTTGTGTGTTAAAGGATCATTTGGTTAACCCCCAAGCCCAGGGCCACCAGAACTGTTCAGCTCCCCAATCCTGCAGATGACAAGGAAACCTATTGCTGTGGTAACAACCCCGACCCTGTCCCTGAGCCTTCTATGCAGGAGGTTCAGCTACAGGGTCTGTACAGCTCAGCTTTTCACGTTATCCTGTGACAGAGGACTCGGCAAGCTGCAGCTATCCATGCAGGATTTACCAGCACATTCAAGGCTTGAACCCAGGGCTGTCTCCACAGTTCCCTGCGTTTTCTGACCTCACTCTGCTTCCTTCCTCTCTCCTTCAGGATGTATTGTTCACTGTCTCTTCCCTGCTCACAGCTCAGGGTCCTGTCTTGTTCTGTTGCTGCATCTTCAGCCACTGTCAGGGAACCTGGCACCTTGTAAGCACCTGTGAAATCTTTATTGAGCTGCCTTGAACTTGGCCCAGCATCTGGAGTTCAGGAGGAGTGGGAGTAGGTTGGTGGCTATGGATTGGCAGCAGTGGGTCTTGTGTGAGCCCACGTGGAACCTGCTGGGTGTCAGGACTGTGTGAGTGCTTTGCACGGATGGCTTTCTTGGTCGTGACCCTTGGCTTGCTTATGACTGAGAGCTGCAGGGCAAAGTGCAGCACAAGGAGTGGCCTTGCCTTGGGTCACCCAGGAACCTGGTTTGGTTCTGTTGGTGGGAGCTGGCAAGGCCTGGGGGTGTGGGTTGCATGCCCTTTAAAGCCATATGCCTATAGTTTAACTGTTGCATAAAATCCTGTTCACAGATGTAGTACATCCAGTCAGTAGGTGTGGGATGCTCAGGCCAAGAAGGGACCTTGGGATGCTGCCCTATTTCTTGGCTTGAGCAGCTCTTGCAGGAGCTTCCAGGAGGAAAGTCAGTTAATATCCCTCCCCTAAGTTCAATTTTGTGGAGAAGGAAGCCAAGGCACAGAAAGGACAGTGATTTGCCCTGAGTCACACAGCACATGGATCCAGCCTGGACACCTCTGCCGTAGTAATCACACCAGGGATGTATTGCGGGGCCTTGTCCCCTGGTGCTGGCCTAATTTGTATTTCCAAGCATCTGAGTCTTGTATTACTTCATTACTCCTAACTCTAGTGCAGGGAGCTGGAGACCCTTGGGAGAGGCCCCGAGGGTGTAGTGGTGGAAGTGGACAATGCTGAAGCTGGGGCCTGTCTTACAGTTGTTAACCCTGCACTTCTAGGACAGGAGGGCAGCTTCCTAGCTCATCCCTACCGATCTACCTATCTTTCTTTCTTTCTTTCTTTCTTTCTTTCTTTCTTTCTTTCTTTCTTTCTTTCTTTCTTTCTTTCTTCCTTTCTTCCTTTCTTCCTTTCTTCCTTTCTTCCTTTCTTCCTTTCTTTCAGATTTATTTATTTCTACTTAAAAGTGTTACAGAGAGAGACAGGGAGAGACACAGAGAGATAACCTCCATCTGCTGGTTTACCCTCCAAATGACCAATATGGCTGGAATTGGCTGGTCGGAAATTGTGGGCCAGGAGCTTCAGCTGGGTTTCCTGCATGGGTGAAGGGGCCTATGGACCTGGGCCATCCTCCGCTGACTTCCCAGGACATAAGCTGGGTACTAGATCAGAAGTGAAGAAGCCAGGACACAAACCAGTACCCATATGAGATGCCAGCACTGCAGGTGAAGCATTAGCCTGATATGTCACCACACCAGACAGGTTCCCACTCATCTTTATCCCCAGTGTTTGTAGCAAGCCCAAGAGGACCAAACTGTCCACTCAATTGCCAGCTCTTTATCTGCCCCTCAGCCCTTTCTGGTCTCCTGCCTTTGTCTGCAGTTGTGAACAAAATAGGAGACACCTTTTGGTCAGATCCACCATCTTCCAGTAATTTGCCAAGATGATGAACACAAAAGGAAAGAAAAAAGGTACCTGTTATGTATTCTCCAAGCCTTTTAGGAAACATGGAGCTGTTCTTTTGGCTGCAGACATGTGCATTTACAAAAAAAAAAAAAAAAAAAAAAAAAAAAAAAAAAAGAGAGAAAGAGACATTATAGACCAAGGGAATGGGTACTGTTCAAAAGCCCCATAAATGTTATAATGGCAAAACTGGAAGAGTCTGTAATGTTACCCAGCATGCTGTTGGCATTGTTGTAAACAAACAAGGGCAAGTGCAATAGCTCAACTGGCTAATCTTCTAAGCACAGCGTGCCACATGGGCACTGGTTCATGTCCTGCCTGCTCTGCTTTCCATCTGGCTCCCTGATTATGGCCTGGGAAAGCAGTGGAGGATGGCCCAAGTCATTGGAACTCTGAACCCATATGGAAGACCAGGAGGAAGCTCTTCGCTTCTGGCTTCGAATTGGCTCACCTCCGGCAATTGCAGCCATTTGGGGAGTGAATCAGTGGATGGAAGATCTTTTTGTCTGTAAATCTGCTTTTCAAATAAAAATAAATGTATCTTTAAAAAAGATACTTGTCAAGAGAATAAATATGCGCATTGAACATATTAAACATTCTAAGAGCTGAGACAGTTTCCTGAAATGGGTGGAAGAAAATGATTAGTAAAAGAAGAAAGCCAAAGGGAAAGGCACCTAGGTTCATCTAAAACCTAGTCTGCCCCACCCAGAGTGGGCCACCTTGTCAGAACCCATGGAAAGGAGCCTGAGCTGTTGGAACCATGTATGAATTCATGGCATAATAAGGGAAAGAAAAATAAAAGACCTCAGGACTCTTAAAAAAGAAGAAGAAAAAGAAAAAAAAAAGAAGAGGAGGAGACAAAACCTAACCTGCTTATTATTATTATTTAAAATCGGGTGCCTCAACGTCTCTAATTAAATGCAATATTGAGCTCTGCCATGGCAAAGAGGAAAACATGGTGACTTCATATTTTATACAGTTTACCAAGAGGGTGCCTCATTTCTTCCTGGGCTTATTTTTTAGAAAGTTACTTCATATGGTGAAGAAGGCCTTGGAGTGACACAGGGGCTAGGGCCTCCGTTTTCCCAGGCAGCTCACACAGGGACATCTACCTGGTCAGGGCAGTTATTTGACTGTCTAACAGGGGCAGTTTCTC